GAGCGAGGTCTTTATGCATAATTCACAAATTCAACAAGCACGTCTTCTGCTTTTATCTTGTGATATTAGGATATAGCCTTATGGAAGGCTTTTCAGAAATTTTACACTCATTCTGGGTTCAAGTATCATCTGCTAAAAAGACTGCATGAGAGAACTTAAAAAGAAGGGGGGGAAAGACAAGAATACATGCTGCACATTCTTTTCAAGTAGAATTCTTAAAAAAAAGTTCCTACTGTGTTAGATGACTACCTGAACCACAAAACGTACAAGATAAACATACTGAAAATGAAAAGAGGGAAAAAAAAAAAAAAGACAGACAGTACAGATTGCTCTAGCAACAAGCCAATAATAAATTAGAGTAGATTATGGCTTGAGATTTAACCATGCAGGAAAATGCACCTGTCCAAGAGGAGGAAGACCAACAGTCGATTCAAAGAAAATTACTCAACATGTGTTATGATTACTTTTTTTCCCGTCAACTCCACATTTCAAATTATTTTAAAATATTTAACTGCATTTGAAAGAATATTTCAGTTCTGATAAGAGGAACAAGAGATACAGAATAGTCACACAGAAGTTACAGTTGCAACAATGGAAATCACTAACATGATGTTGTCAACATCATTTTATCAATTCAGAGATTCACTGGACATCTGAACAAACCAACCCAGAAAAACACATCATTGCAGAGTGGACACAGTTCTTTGGTCCATTTTCCTCCATTAAGTAAACTTCAACAGATTAGTTCGTTCATCAGTTGGATCAGAGAGAATCCAACACAGATAAACCAGTCTGCCCAAAGACTTGCGGAGGGTGTGTGGGTGGGTGGTGGGTGTCGAAATCTGAATTCCATGTCCAGTGGAGAGAAACACGAGCCTAGAGAGCAATTCTCCTCATTTAATGAACACACAGGTACCTTGAAGATATATGCTTATGTGTATATATACACATATATACATTAAGATTCCAAAGGTTCAAACGAAAAACTAAACTGAAGCTTTACAAGTTTAGCAAAGGATTTCATCCTTTTCATCATCTTACGTCCTAATAAACAATCTCTATGGTTACATTGATATTTTGCTATGTGATGCACTTTTTCTTCCTGCTCTCCAGGTTGAGACTGATTTTTTTTTTTTCCTATGCTCATTTCTTCTCTAAGTTCTTTTTACTTGTAAATTCTTATTTTATTTACTTTCTTTTTGCTTTTTTAAAACCAAAGCCTCATTAGGACACACACAAAAAAAACCCCAAACACAGAGAATGCTCTGCTAACCACTGGAACTTTGACCTAAGCCAGACACATTTCTGTAATTAAGGTGAATTCTGCACAGAGAAGAAAGCACTAAGATCTGGATCAAAAGTCTACTACAAAAGCTGTTACCCAGACATTACCAGAGATAGTCCCACGTTCAACTGAAAAGCAGCTGAAACAGCAAAAGGTGGGCAGGCAGCTCTTCAGGTGCCTGAAAGCATACTTTCTGCATTACACATGTTGGAAAACCAGTCCAAGTTCAACCCATATTTTATATTTCTCTGTTCAGGGAAGAAAAAAACCCCAACACTTGGCATTGTGTTCTTCAAAAAGAAACACTGGCTAACATTCAAATTTAAAAATTAGAATTGTCTCTCTCAAATTTGTTCACTGTACACAACCGCTCCTCGGAAGTAAACCACTTCACTTTTCTGTGAAGTGTGAACAGTTTTTTCCAGACATTGAAAGGGAAAGGAGCAGAAACAGGTGAACACCAGAAGAGGGGAGAAGATGGCAACAGGCGGGCTCAAGTATGTCAAAGGACTACGCAAAAAAAAGAATGCAACTCAGTTCATTCACTTCTGAAGAGATGCAGGATATGCTACTTCGCGTGCTCTAACGGGAAAGTTATCCGAAACAATGAAACACAGATCTGGTTGGCAGAGCTCCCATGACTTGATAATACTCCTCCATGTCCTGCTAAGTAGCTCTGTTGGGTTAAATCCTTCTATGGTGTTCTAGCAATCTCAGTATATCCACTTTATCAGTTTAAAAACACTGCTGGCGTATTTCATGCAAAACATTCGTAAGACAAGGGAACGCTGACTGCTGGATGCATACTGCATGCCTCACAGTGCCTTTTATTCCAAGGCGTATTATAAACTTTGTTGAGTTAAAGAAAAAAAAAAAACAACCTTCGAACAGTTAAGGCTGAAGATAAGGCTTTCCTAAATCTAAGTGAGCTAACTTCTGAACAAGTGCTGCAAAAGACTAGGAAAAAGAGGAACTACAAATGCACAGCTTTTTCCATAGACACAGTGGGGGAAAGTGGTAGGGGAAGAACACGCTATTTTCATCCAAGTGAAAACAACATCAAACCCCAATTTCAGGCACCACAAGGGTTTGTTTTAGTTAAAGGTTTATCTGGAGATGTTTGTACCTGTAAAGTCATTTCACTTGCTACTTAAATGCAATCACCTCAAGCAGAATATGAAAGCGTCCAAGGGACTGGTGCTGTGATGCGTTAAACATCTGCAGTTTCTATGTATCTCAAGCAACCAAGTGCATAACAGTAGAGCAAGCTGGGTATTAAGAACTCTGATGAATGCCCTCGAACTTTACTAAAAGGCAGATAGAGAAAGTTTTAGGTAACATCGTTTAAGATTTCTGGCATTTCTTGTGAGATAAATAGCGAGTCACAAACAGGATCTCAGTGTTAGTTCGGGGCGG